TATTTTTGCCACTGTTAAGTCTTGTTTCCCTACGGTTTTCTATGTTTTGTGTTTCTTTTTTATCCCTTTTTCCTCTTTCTTGATTTTTGTTGTCTTGATTATTTTTTCTTTCATCAGTTAATCATTTAATATTTGTTCCTTTTTATTATTTTCTGCTTTGTCTATGTGCTCTTTTTGTACTTTGTTGTTTTTTAGGGATTGGGTTGATTTTATTGTTTTTTTGCTGAGAAGTTGTTGGTGGTGTATCGGATATTTGGCCTGTTTCGTTTTGAGTTCCGTTAGATTTTAGATTTTCTGGAGTATAGGCCCTGCCATCAATATATAGAATATTTCCTTTTATATGCGCTAAACGGTTTTCTTCTTTAGCCTTCTTCATATAGTGTACCAGCATTTTTTGTTCCTGTCGTTCTTCTGTTGTCAGGATTTCAGAAATTCTAATTTTGGTTCCTTTCAGAAGTTTACAGTTGCCATATATATTCTTTTTGGTCCAGTAATGTACAAATTGTATGATAATTGGTTTGTTTTCTTCTGTTTTACCAATAGTGTATACGTTATTAATGTCTTTTTTATCTAAATTTATGTGTAGCAGATTATTCAATTTATCTACGGTATAGCTTAATAAATCCCCTTCTTTGTATTCCAAGTTGAAAACTATTATATCATTCTTTCTAATTTGTTTTTGAATGTGTAAGTTTTTAAATTTTTCGTCTTCTAGTTCTTTCTCGATTTTGTCCGTTCTTCTAGCCTCTTTTTCCACCACTGTTTTGATTTCCAAATTTTGTTGGTCTATATGTTGCATTAACTTATCAGTTTATCTGTTGTTTTCAGTTAATATAAAAATTTTTAATTTCTCAAATAAATCGTCTGAACTAATTTCCTTATTTGGCTTTGGCCCCTTTACTAATGGTTTGTCTATTTTGTTGATACTTTTTTTTTATTACTTAGGTGTGGGGCAATTATAATATTGATTCATAAAAATAAACATAAGTAATTTACCTTTTGTAAAATAATTGTAATATGCAGCCACTCTGGTGTTTATTGATACACGATACACAATTTCAAAAATTAATTCACGCTATATCACAACATTTTTACTTATTTATCAGGAGCACTAATTTCACTTCTAGTAGTATTTAGTAAGAGCGCTTGTAAAAATATGCAAAATTAATTTAAATTTGTCTTGTCTTTTTTTAAATAAATTAATAATTTTAAAATTTTTAATATATAATTGATGGGATTAAAAATTTATAGATAAATAACTGCTCCTATCCACACTGCTAGTTTAAAATAATGTCTCATCCGTTACTCTTAGTTTGAGTCTCATCATCGTCTCGCATGCCATTAGAAGAAGTGACGTGCGTGCTCTCATCGCCTTTAGATGTTAAGCCCTTGGTAAGACCCTTTATTATATTTATTGTGACTTTTTGGATATATTATTTATCTTTAATAAATTGTTAATTGTTGTTGTTTTTTTATTTTCCCAAGTCAGGTAGCACATAGAGTCACTATTTAAAGTGAATTTATCACGACCGAAAGGCCCGTGACAATAAGATCTGTCTTGTGATGCCATTGATTAACAGTTCAAAAAATACTTTGTTTGGATTTCTTTTAGATAATGCAGCAATTAATTTAAATTGTTTAAACTCTTTTAAATTAGTTAAAAACTTACGCTTTTAGTTGTTATCTATCTAAATGATTCGAAAACAAATATATCAATAGATAAATTCTGCTTAGTAACTTACGTCAAAAAACTTCTTTTGAAGAATGGATTTAAAGTGCATTTTTTATTTACTAACTTTTTAAATTTTAAAACTAATTTGTAAACTATAATGTAGTTATTTATAGTCATTATCTTTAACCGAGAAGATATCGATAGCATATACTTGCGGTGCTATAATTTCTGTGTGGTTTTGGAAATTTTAATCACTTATTAAAAATTGTTGCGATTTAACCAACTGTAGAGTCAGAGACAATAAATGATTATAAATCTAAAACAACAATTCAACTTTAACCTTTTTTGTTGGCATAACTGCGGCAGTAGGGGGAAGATAAATTATTTTGAACACTGTAACCTACCGCACCCAGGTACCTTAATAATTTATTAATTCCATTTATTAAATATAATATTGCATTCTTATTAAATTCAAAATCCTTTATTTAACGAAAAATCTCCCAGAAAATATTATTTACGATACTTAATAAATAATATCTATAACCCTGTCTGTAAGAGATCCAATTTTCGTGCACGTGTCTGAGAACCAGCCCAAGAAACGCTTGAAACGCGTATCTTAAGTGCGTTTGAATAGTAACGTTGTTTTCGATACACAAAATTTTCAAGGTAAGTTATAAATCAGCCACCCCCTTTGCACCTACATTCATATTTTGCTGGGAACTTAAGACAGAGACGTCATAAAAAGCTATTAAAACCCTTATAAGAACCCGGACCCAAATGAGCTCGGATTCACTCATTTTTTATTATTTAATGAGCAAGCATTTATTTTATTATTTTACATTCAAGCTATCACTTTATTATTTGTATCCAGTTATATAGTCTGTACCTTTCCTAAAATGCTCTTCTCGATGCTTGCCGACCCTAAATATTTCCTTCATAATATCCTTGTCGACACCCTTTGTCACGTCCCGCACTACCTAAATATTCCTACCGTATATCTGTCCCAATGCAGTACCGTATTAAATACCTTTCTTTCCAACACGACGCTAGGCGCCTCGACGCAAGGCGACGCTCAACGCTGCAACGTACCTAAATCGACGCCGTCACAACGCTAGATGAAATTAGTACATAATCTAATGTCGGTATTTTCAATGGCTAGTCAAAAGATTTATGTAACTTTCTTTGAGATACCACCGGGGTTTCGTTTAAACAAGGGCTTGACATTTTCTGAAAAATATCAATAAAAGCAATGAACCAAATGACCTTCAGGTCATACACCCCGAAAGACAGGATAGACATCTGTTTTCGATGGGTGAAATTTTAAGTATTTCAATAGAAATTATAGAAATCAATATTAAGAAATATACAAGGTTGTATTAAGTTATTTCAATAGAAATTAGAATAATCAATATTAAAAATATACAGGGTTGTATTAAGTCATTTCAATAGAGATTATAAAAATCAATATTTTAGACATATACAGGGATGTGCTTTCTTGGATAAATGGTACAAACCAAGATGGAAAAATTTAACAGTAAGTTAACCAACTGGTGAATACACTGTTCGTTAGCTCAAGGGGGGACACATATATGCTACAAGATTTGATACAAAGTATATGTGAAATCAACATAGTAAAGTAACCAACTGGCGAATTAGCGCTGTTCGTTACTTCCGTTAGTCATCACCTCTATGGGTGCAACCTGTGTATATCTAGAATAGAATCAAATCAACATCAACACAGTAGTTAACCAACTGGTGAAGTGGTGCTGTTCGTAAACTCCGTTGGTCATCAACCCAAATAAGAATATAAACATCAACACATGCAGTAGTTAACCGACTGACGAATTGACGCTGTTAGTTAACTCCGTTGGTAATCAATCTTGATAGCAAATGAACGTGGTCTGCGTTTGATCGGGACTCAAGTGAGATCTCAGTAAATAGTACCAATTGTAATATACTTTGTTAATTATTGCATCACATTTAAAGTATGAAAAATGGAAGAGTTTAAATATGAATTTGTATGTTTTATTTATCAATTTGCACCAAACTTTGCATCGAATCCTGGTTTACCTTAATTAACATTATCACAACGTGGGTATATAAATGATCAATTAATTAACTAGACGATCACTTTTACTACTAGAGGAAAAAGTACAAATACAGTAAGTATAGAAACTAAAATAAAATAAACTTGTGAGGTAAGTTATAACAGCTCAGAGAGTAAAATAGCGATCAAAAAAGGGAGTGTCGGGGTTGGGCTGCCACAATACTTCCAACACTTCCTCTCAAAATAATTCCAATAGCATTATTTAATGCAGCTTATGCCTAGCACACTCCTTAATTTAACAAATTTTTAATGTGCCAGCGGTTTTGTCACTATATCGGCGACTTGTTTGCTAAATTTGGTACTAAGTACCTACAGAAAATAATATATTTCTCCACTTTTTGCTCCAGCGAGAAATCCATCGTCTACATATAAAACTGCTAGCGGGTAAATTAAATTTTTGTGTGATTACTAACTATAGTATTGTGGAGAACATCGACAGTCAAGGAATAAATATTATTTATTTGTTTATTTTATAATTTTTTCTATCGTCTCGACCCAGGCTATGTTATTTATTATGTTCCTTCCAAATCCTTCTTATAATAACAATTTATGATCTGTTTGATTGGTCTATCATCGGCCGCAGCAAGATAGAGGCCCTCGTCACTATGAAGGTTCAATGAAGGATCTTAAAGCAGATTTCAATTTCAGGGAGTCATGTCATGAACTTTCGTAAAAACAGAAATTATATACAAAATAAAAATGTAGATTTTCATGTTTGATTTGTTTTTGGAATAATTTACTACAAGAAATATATTTTATTTTGTCTATTGACTAATGACAAGATGCAGTGTGTAGTATTTTTTCTATGCTAATGAAAAAAAAAAAATAAAAACAAATTTTCTAATCCCCACCCTCAAGCTAATTTGGCGCTCCCCTCCTTCTCAGCTGACGAGCCGCCACTGCTCGTAGTACAAAATAGAAAGTGTGGAATTTTCAGTATTAATTTAGATTCTGGGAGACTAATGTGCTGAAAATTGGTTTAATAATTTAAATATTGTGACGAAAGACTAGAGGCTCTCGAACATTCCTTTTCTATGACTAAACGGCACTCTCCGCCATTCCAGCTGTTTCTAGTGCATCAGCGGTAGGCATTCCTAACGCTCCGTCGCCTCGAGCACGAGAAGGTCGAGCATACACAGGGTAGGCTTTAAGAATTTTATGACAATATATTAGGATTTTATTTTAATAATCAAAACATTCATAATATGAAATGAAAATGGATATCGTTTTTCCTAAAGAAGTGGTTTTCTGAAAATGACCCAAAAACTGAAGAATTGTAAGCTAAATAGGAATAAATAATAAAAAATTAAATAGGGTATTTGTTTATTTAATATCTTAGCTCGTATGTTAAAGAGCCCATACTTTAACGTAATCAATCTGTAGATGAGAATCATCAGTATTCCTTTTCCAAGTCGGTAGCCACTCTTTGTTTCCCTGCCAGAATGTAGTAGGAGCATTGTCTGCTTCATTAGACCAAGGTTTTTGTCCCGATAAATTATCTATATTGTCTGGGAAGTAGCCATTAGTTCCTCCTACTGCCAAATTAAAAATTAAATAAAATTCTTGATCGAATGGAGCCATTTTGGAATTAGTCCATGGATTTGGGAATCCGGAATCCTGTAAGTCCCCATATTGCCAAAATCCACCTGCAGGTGGCGTAATTATTCCCATTTGCACATTGTCGGCAGAAATTTTAATATGCTCAGGGGTCCACTCTAGTTGGTACTTGTGAAAACCGGTGTTGTATCCTTTTTTTAAATTTCTTTCAAAATGTGTTCTCTCCCATCTATTGTGACTGGGATCGGGACCCCAATGAAGTGTGTCTGTTATTTGTTCCACACCAATGTTCACATCACCGACGTATAGTTGTCGGTTGCCTCTGCTTTCCAATATATCAATCTCGCCAGATGCTGGCCAACCCCCATATTTCCAATCCTTAGGAAGCATCCATAACGCTGAAAAAGATAAATAATGTATTGAATAATAAATATAAAAATTGTTTTGTTTACAAAAATCAATCGATTTAATATTGGTTATCATGAGAACTGTTCCTCTTTTTGATGAGCCTACCTAGTAGACAATATTTTTAACATTTAAATTTCTATATACTACACAATATACATATACTTATAATAAGAATCCAGACATGCCGTGCACTTTTGTTTACAGTTGATAATGAAGCAAGAGAATTTTAAAACTAATTAAGAACAGCAGCAACAAAACTTAAAAACTAGTTTAGAGCAACAATAAGAGGATTTAAAACAACAAAGGGCTAGATTAGAGATGGAAAAGCAAATTAGAACTGAAATGGTTGGGTAAGCAACATTGAAGCTGAAAACACTCGCTTATTTTGATCTGTAACCGAACCAAGCACATTCAAAACCCAGCTTTACAAAACCATACTAGGAAGACTATTAAGCCACCCACGTTTAATGGTCAGACAACATGGGAAATGTATCGACTTCAATTTGAAGCTGCAGCCAGGCCAATGACTGGGTCGAAAAAGAGATGGTGGCTATACTGATTGTGTCGCCGCGAGAACAAGCAGCAACCGTTTTACAGTTACTTACCCAAGGGCAACTCAGCGGTTGAGTGCCAACTGAGCGCGTTTCCGGGTGGTGGATAGGAGAACAACCAAGTTTTCCTTGGTTAGTGGTCGACATAAGTAGAGTGCGAGAGCCTAAAAACCATGAGGGAACCTGGCGACACCCTCTTGTATTTAGCATTGCCGGCGCATGCGGGGCTCTGCGTCGGTCGACCTTTCCTTCCCTAGCTACTCGTGGGAACCATATGGTTTCTGAAACACAAAAACTCGAAGAGGCTGGACGTCGACGCTCTCCTCCAGCAAAGGAGACTGGATGACTAAGTCCAAATCCGACGCAGGAACTGGACAGCGACGATCACCTCAAAAAAAGAAGAATGGACGTCAACGCTCACTTCCTGCAAAGGAGCCTGGACAACAAAGTTCAGCTCCTGCACAGGAGGCTGGACAGCGACGCCCAACTAAAAAAGGAGGATGGACACAGTAGTTCACCTCCAACTAACAGGCCCCGGAGAGGCAAAATAATCTCTGAAGCAAAGCAAAGAGGAGGAAGAGGAATAAGCTGCAGGCAGGCAGTGCTACGGCAACCGCCACCATCAGCAAACTCCCTCACTTCAAAATAAACAAAAGCTGCTTAATCAATGACCTGACGTGGGAATGGCTAAAAACTAAGGTACCAACCTTAAAAACATTGGAAGGAGCAACACTCGCTGTTGTAGGGATGGACGAGCTCCCCAAGCTCACCAAAGCCTCTCTCTGGATCCCAGGGGAAGCTTAAGCTGACCTTGATGAGAAGGAGGTTGTGCTCAGGCGACTTGAGGGGCAAAACCCAAACTTACATGTGGCGAAATGGTACACCTTCTACCATGAAATAAAAAAAGACCCCAAGGGCTATGCGTTCACCTCATTCAAGCCAACAATCGATGACCTCCAGCATGAAAACTCAGAGGAGCCACAAAAAATCATCCCTCCCCACTTTCGGAGGAAGGGATGGTCGAATAAAAAAAACACCTTACTGCCCAATTTTTAACGGAAGACCGGGAAGCAATAAATGAGGTAACTATCACACAATGTAACTTGTAGCACAAAAGGGTGGCTACAGCAACATTATGCCGCCGCCTTGATGAATTGCAAGATACAATAGCACTCATCCAGGAACCCTGGATAATAAAAACAAAAATTTTAGGTCTTAAAAATCTAAATGGTTTAATTTTTAGCTTTACCAGCAATCAACAACCTAAGACAGTCATTTACATTCCCAGGAAATACAAAGCCCACTCAATGGCGCGATTTAACTGCGGTTAGGATGGAATGCGTAATCGAAAGGGAAAAGAAAACATTAATTCTGGCATCTGCATACCTCCCTTCCGATGCAATCACATCCAATCCCAGCAAAGAAATGGAGGATCTGATTGCATACTGCCTGGATAGAAGTTTGAGCTAATAATAGGTTGCGACTCAAACGCTCATCACTTCAGTTGGGGCAGTAAGGATAACAACGCTAGAGGTAAGTGACTTTATAATTATATAATTACCAAAAATCTTTGCATTTTAAATAAAGGTACTACACCAACATTTTTAAACTCTCGGAGTCAAACACTAATAGATATCACTTTATCCACAACTGGTATAAATCAATTCTAAACTTGCAAGTGTCTGATATTTCGATGTCAGACTACCGCTGGTTAACATTTAAAATAAACTTGATGTTCTCGACCTCCACGCTATCTCGGAACCCTTGGAAGACGGACAGGACAATCTATGCTCACCTTCTACAAGAGGCTCTGAGAGAGATGGAGGCTGAAACACCAAACAATAACAATGCTTTGAAGAAGTACTCAAATAATATCCAAAGCACAATAAACAATGCCTATAAGAAATCCTGTCCCCTGAGGCTGGTCCAACACGATCAGACGACTACCGCATGGTGGTGTCACGAGTTGGATCACCTCAGGAAGATGGCTAGGAAATCCTTTAATAAGGCAAGAACCACAAAACTCAAAGAGGACTGGGATACTTACAAATCTCACCTCAGAGAATACAAAAAAATCGTCAGACAAAAACAGAGAGATGTATGAAAATCCTACTGCAAAGAAATCGAAGATTTCCCGCAGGCAGCGAGGCTTCAAAAAGCTCTCTCAAAAGATCCACACCGAAGCATTGGTGCGCTACTTAAAGAGGATGGCACGAAAACTGCCAATCTCGAAGAAAGCATCAAACTTCTGCTGTCAACACACTTCCCTGACATCACAGACGTGGCCGACTGGGCAGTAGAAGAATACAATCCATCTGTCTATGATTGGCAAACTGCCAAACACATTTAAATTGCCAGGAGCAGACGGTATCTATTCCGCCCTACTTCAGTGGGGTCTGGAAGAACTCACACCGCACCTGGTGGGTATATTCAGAACCTCGTTGGCTCTGAGGTATATCCTCAAAAAATGGAGAGAGGTAAAAGTGGTATTTATATCCAAACATTTTTTTTTGCATAGACCGTAAGCCATTTGCCACACACTCTACCCAAACCTGGAAGGATGGATTACACTGTCCCAAAAACACACCGACCAATTAGTCTGACATCGTTTTCCATGAAGACATTGGAAAGGCTATGCGAAAGGTACATAAGGGATGCGGTGATTACAACACTACTATACCCAAACCAACATGCATACACCCCAGGCAGATCTACTGATTCAGTCCTTCATCTAGTTGCTGGCCGGATAAAAAGATCCCTGGACAATAATGAGTCCGCCTTGGGTGTTTTCATAGACATAGAAGGTGCTTTTGATAAAACCACCTTCCCACAAATAGGAATGTTCCACAAATGGTTAGTGGGTAGATACATAACATGCACTAAAAGCGAACAGTAAACATAATTGTAGAAGATATGAATATAAGAGGTTTGGTTGCGAGAGGATGTCCACAGGGAGGGGTGCTATCACCTCTACTGCGAAATATGGTTCTCGACACCCTCATCAGCTGCCTTAATAATGACAGTCACTACACAATAGCATATGCAGATGACCTGGTCATTCTGCAAACAGCGAAAGAATGCAAGTAACTCTAAAAATTACCGAACAGTGGTGCAAGGACCATTCATTGTCTATCAATCCTAAGAAGACAGAAATGGTCCTTTTCACAAGGAAAATGATGAAAATGGAATTAAAACCTCCAGAAATCCTAAATACAAAACTAAACCTTGCAACAGAGGTGAAGTACCTAGGTCTCACCTTTGACAGCAAGTTAACATGGAACTCGCATTTAGAAAACAGAGTTAATAGACCATACATTGCTTATGAACAATATCGCCGAACCGTGGGGCGCATCTGGGGTTTCTCCCCAAGAGTCGTCGCATGGACTCACACGGTTATCATAAGACCTATGCTAACATACGGTGCAGTTGTCTGGGTACCAAAAACCCAAAAATTAACAGCTATCCGTAAACTAGAACAAATTCAAATAATAACAGGAGCCATGAAAACAACACCTTCCAGAGCCATGGAAGTCATTTTTGCTCTGACGACAATGATACGCCTCCGCACGGTTGGAATAGAACCTGATGTAGGATCTGGTGAGGCGAGACGTCACTTTTGGCAGGAGGCGCTTGATAAGCTCCCACTGCTTCAAGCGAACATGGACTCCATCTTACCGAGATATATCTTCCATAAGCCATATAAAGTTATAATAGAATAAATAGAAGAGCCAGAAGTGGCAGGTACGATTCATCTATACCGACGGTTCTAAAACAAAACAAGGCTCAGGATGTGGAATATACTCCAGATTCTTAAACTTAAACATAAAATGGGCTGTGAGTAATAGTGCCAGTGTAGTTCAAACAGAGCTAACGGGGATTCTCATAGCATCAAAAGAAATAACCAGGAAGAATATCACAGGAAGGAACATGCTCATCTACACAGATAGCAGACAAGCACTACTCACCCTGAAGAGACCACGAATTTATTCAGGGTTGGTACTAAAATGTTACGAAGCTTTGACCTAATTAAAGAACATTGCCTTGGGAAATTCAAGGAAAGAGCCCCTGACAACACTGCAGCGAACAAATATTTGACTATGACTAGACAGAATCTGCGCTTAGTCACAGGCATTGCCAAGTACGGAAGCATCTCCATATCATGAGGCTGTCAGAATCCGCACTCTGCAGAGGGTGCGAACAAGAAGCTGAGACCATCGAGCATATCCTTTACGATTGCTCGACGCTCTCATTTATTAGAAGATTTGTGTTCGGCGAGTATCGGCTAACACCGGCCCTCTTGGCAACGGTGTCAACTACATTAAATCTTTAGCTGGCTCACGAGCTAGGAGGTGCCTATCATCTTAGGAGGATGCACAATGGGCCTAATGAGGCCTAAGTGTCGTGGGAGTAACCTATCCTCCACATGTTACAGATACAGA